CCCATCACCACGTCACCAGGCTTCGGTGGTGACGTTGTGTGAAAGTGCTGGTGGTGGTGGTGGCCTCGCTGCGGAGCCTTGGCAGCGCCCGGTTGTGGCTGGATTCATAGGCAGGACTTGACAATACCCGGCCTGGTAAACATACAAAAAACTATTGAAAATGGCCATAGAAATAGTGGATTTACCCATGAAGAATGGTGATTTTCCATGGTTTTCGTAAACGTTTACCAGAGGGTATCAGCAATATAAAAAGAAGATGAAACATAGAAAAACATATCGGTATTGAATTCTTGATGTATTATTTTAGGCATGAAGTGGATAAGTGGATAAGATTATGTTCGCTTTGTGATAGGCTGATGTTTCAATGTCATTTCATGTTGATTTACAATAATTTATAGTGACTCCAAAAAAGATAGAACACGATAGAACGACTTTCAATTCTGCCACCAGTTAAGTAGGGTTTTATTTGTTTGCAACCTTTGGTGGCTATACGTAGTCTTAGGAACATTATTTGAGATCAAGTAAAGTGGAACAAGTCACATTGAGGAAAAAAAACATATGTATATATATATATGTATATATATATATTATATATACATACTTCTAGCACCGCCATACAATATAGGTAAAATCCAATGACAATTTGAGTAGCGAAATTAACTTGTTCTATCTTTTTGGGGGATACGTGGGGGCGCAACCCAGTTAGTAAGTGGTTAAGAGCCGATATGTAACTGGGTACTTATATCCTGCAAAAGCAACTTTGAGACTATGTCATTGTTTCACGTTATTTCCCACTTACGATTTCTGGGGTGGACATCGGAGTAAGATCAAGCATGCACATCAAAGTAAGATCAAGCAAGGTATTGAAGCTGGTCTTCCTAACTTTCCAGGCGCGCAAATATCCAATTTTCCTTTACTTAAGTACCTTAAGTTGTCCAGAGGGCAGAGGGCACAAGCCAGCGGGAGCCTGAGGCTTCTTCAAAGTTCTGGCTCGGAGTGCAGTGCTCAGGAGTTTTGCGACCGACGTAAACTGCGGGCCTGTTACTTGAGCAGTGCCCAAACCACAACAGTTACCTTGGGGCTGCATCCTAGTAACTGGTGAAAGACCATGGATGAAAAACGGACTTATTTGTGGGATATCCGATATCCCAAGTTATACATGGCTTATTCACGTGGCTTCAGAGTGGGATGCAAAGTACGAAGCATACAAGGTGGTGCACTCCCACTTGTGGTTGTTGGTTTGCAACAACTAGTTAGTTATTAATATATATATAAATATCTACCATAGACCATGCTGACCAACAGAGCTATCGTTTCGGGGCACCACCTTGTAGTGAAAATCCATTTAAAAGTAAAGGGGATATCCACATAAATATATCGGAATTCATGTATATATATATATAATTATATTTGATCATATCCATCTACACTGAGTATCACTCAGTTCTATCATAGATCTATCTGGGATAGCCGGATGAGCCCACGAATTTCGGGGGACTTACTAACCCCCAAGGGGTTAGTAAGCAGTTCCTTCGGGGAATCATGACCACGAAAATGGCCAAAAAAAACTCGGGTTTTGGTGGATCCAAAGCGATCCAAACTATGTATCTCTTCCAATAGCTATTGGATCTGTTCATCAGCTTTTGAACCAACTTCATGGATTTTCCAAACGGCGATACTCAAGAACTCTGGTCCAATACAAAAAGAATCTGTGGCTTGAGCCTGATGTGGCGGCCTATGGTTGAGCACTGATGGTTGTGTTGTTTTTTTTCATGTCCAAAGTGCCAAAAATTGAAAGGGAACCCAGCCCCAATTTGTAACAGGAAAGCACCAGCACCTGAGTCCCCTGACCATGTCTATCCATGTCTCAGCGACAAATCTACGAAGGATTGGTTCCGAAAGGTGGGCCTAAGATGACTAGAAAAGTTGGTTTCTGACCGCACTAACTACTTGTGTTAATTCACCATATAAGCCATCGTTAACCTACTTATAGTTAACATACTACGGCTGCAAGTAGCGAAACTATATGGTAAATATAACTCTCACTACCAAAATATTAGTTATATTTACCATATAAGCCATACTGTAGTGAACCTACTTGTGTTCACCAACTTCGCTACCGTTTGGGGAAAAACCTTGCAGTTGTTTGATATTTTAATATTGTAGGGACTACCAGTCAGATCAGTCCGCAAACATCTTCCAAAAACATCTCCTCACGTTTAGAAACTACAGGGGAACAGGGGACCCGCAACTTACAACCAAATGTCGGCAAAAGAAGGGTGACTGCAGGCAGTATTATTAACCACACATGAAATGGAATACCTAGACCGACCCTCAATGGTACCCCGAAGCGTTCGCATTTTACCCAATTAAGTTTGCACCTAAAAGAAGTCTTCTGAGTGAGTCATCCCAGTCATTCACCAAAACATGGGGATACCCAATGATAGCCAGCAGTGATGAGGTGGTGTTCGCAATCACCAGTTTGCTCTTGGCTGGCTTAGACTTTGTCATTAAGGCGGGGTGGCCCAGCGCCTAACGAAACCAGATGCAAAATCGTTGGCAGACTTTGATCCTGAACCGCCTTAGATGACCGAGTAGTTCAGACCCTGGGGCCCACACATTTCCGCATACTGTAACTCGTACCATAAAACTCATCCATTCACACATATTTCGATATATTTCTCATTTTGACACCAACATTGACCCAGTTCATGGTCTATTTTTTGAGGCATTGCAAAATACTGCGTAGGCTTCAATTCTTGGGTCGTCGTCATTTCGGCTGTCGCATGTCTGCGCAGGCCATGGCATAAAAAAATGTATCTTGTAAGAGTAGATGGACAAGAATTACCCTCTGGCAAACTCACATAGCTATGGAAAATCACAATTTTTAATGGGTAAATCAACTATAAATGGCAATTTTCAATAGCTTTGTTAAATTACCAGAGGGTAGATTCATGTTGATTCTATTTCCGAATAATTTTGCAATTTTTTCTTCCTACCAACTGAACTTCTTGGATTGGATTCTAGCCGCGAAAGTGGGGGAAGACAGCAGGTTTGGAACAGTTTGTCCATCTACCATAGGCCAGACTGCACGTAGACAGCCTCTCGCTTCTAGCGGTCAAAAGATTCCAGCCTCACGTTTTCTTGGTGGTTTCACTCTGGTAAATCAAACGTTTCAATGGGAAATCACCTATAAATACTATAAATGGTTCTTTAAATGATAAAATCATCAAACAAAGGTGGAATTTCAATCGCCATGTTTGATTATCATGAGTATCATATATTTTTCCGAACCGGGTACGGTATATCAGTGAATGAACGGGCCTGAATGGGTTTCCGTTTAAGCTTCTCCGGGCCACATTCGCTTAAAAAATGCCAGGCTTCTGTACGCATGTTGGATATCGTTCGTTTGAGGGGACAGCAGCTAAGACCACTAGTTTCTTATCCGATGAAATTGATCTTGCTCCAATTGGTAACATTTTGCTAATATTCAATCAACTTGGAGGTGAAACTTATGAAAACTTACGTTTTTTCTTTGAACATGATGAATTTTGTTGGCGAATTATAGATACATCCCATCATATCTGACACTACCTAGAAGTTATATATGGAACTTTCCTAAAATGAGGGTACCGCCAAATCATCCCTTTTAATGGGATTTGCCATTATAAACCATCCATTTTGGGCGACACCCATTTATGGAAACTCCATGAAACTCCTATATCCCCTAATACGAATCCATTGTTGTTTTGGTGCCCTCCATTGAGCTCCCATTGAGCTCACGCAGGCCAAGCTGGGCAAAGGCAAGCAGAAACTCTCAGTCTCCTGGACAAACACAGGGTGATGCGTGCTCATTGAAAACCCTGAAGTGAACTTCTACTATACAATGTGACGTGTACTATGGTTTGTAGTAGATGAGTATTCATGATATCTATATCTCATATCTATATCTCATATCTATATCTATATCTAATACTAATATCTAATATCATATCAAATATCTAATATTTATATTTGTCTATATCTATATTTATATCTATATTTATATCTATATCTATATCTATACATGTATATATATATATATATCATGTCTATATCTATATCTAATTCTAAATCTATATCTAAATCGATCTATATCTATGTATATATGTGCTATACAATGTGCGGCTTACTTTGGAGTTTCTAGTAAACATTAGTAAACATATCATGATATATTATGATATATTACGATATATTATGATATATATATTGTTAAGTGGTTTACCAGCAAACAAACAGACAAAGTGGTGCCCCAAATCTTCTAAGTCGGTCCAACTTAGCAAGCCACCACCTTGCAGTTGGTCATTGAATGGGAAAGCGGCTCTTTACCGGTTCGTGGTTTCAATCAAACGTCGCTGGTATTTCGATTGTTGTTTGCTTATGTGTTATTTTCAATCCATGAAAAATGAAAGAAGTTAAGACCCCCACCCACTTATATTTGTTGGTTGATAAATCCATCTACCACAAAACAATGTTGTAATCTAGGTATAAACAAACTTATAGACCTATTTTGGGTCGTCATTGTAGTCCTGACTCAATATCCCAGGAGGTGTTGCCCTCCCAAACTCTACTTCGTGGTTCATTCCACGGATCGTAAGTAGGTTAGTTCACTCCAGTTTTTTCAGTGGATTAACCCTACTTATCCCATAAAAAGAACCAAGGATATAACCTGCTTAGGATTCGCGGGTAGGAGGTGATGATCAACTGTCACTGCCTGTGACCCCGATTTTATGGTCAACGTGTATCTCCCATTTATGTTTTATATCTCAGATTTTCAAGTTTGGCTTAAGCAGTTGCCATAAACAAATTCCCATCCCGTTCCCATCAACATTTCTTTGGCCAGACGTCCCAAAGACAGCTTCAAAAAGTCCCTCTCATCAACTCCCCAATTTCCAATTTCCTGAATTCTCCCCATCCCCATCAGTCCCCATTTCCCCATTTCCCCATCCCCAGACTCTCAGGCCATAGAAACGAATTTCTACAACGCGCTGCCCGTGGTGCTCATCACTTTGATCGTGGGCTCCTTGCTTCCCACGCCGGCGCCCGACACCTGGGCTGCGAAGTTCGGCTCGCCGCTGACGGACCTGCAGGTCTTTCGACACCTCTTCGAGGCACAAAGGGGCGGGGGATGGGGTGGAAAAACGGAGCATCCCATAGGAAAAACATGGAAAAACCAGAGGAAAACCATGGAAAAATGGTGATTTCACCCAGAAACAATGGAGATTTGAATGGGATTTATAGCAGATAAAAGATAGTTGGTGCCAATTACTCCGATTTCATTATGGTTTATGGTACTTATAACCTATAACTATCTATAACTTATAGCTGTTACTACAGTCGCTATAGTTATTGGATGTTCTTGGGGTTTAAAACCACCAACGTTATGACGAGGATCATTCCATGGTTCAGTGGTCAACCCTGATCCTCAAGGGGAAATCCACCAGAACTGAGGAAGTCGACCGTAGCCCAGGGATGCAAACGTGTATTTGGAGTATATCTTGGCTATTTTGCACAATATTAGTCTACGTAGAATTACATAGATTCATTGATCCTGTATCAAGATTAATACATAGAGTATATAGCTGAATATGTACCCCTAGATGGCTCAGGGATTGGAGGATCTTATAACAATAGTTCCAAGAAAACAATTACGTGATATGTTATCGCCAAAAACATGGAAAGATGAGAACCAACAATGACAATGGATTTAGTTGGGTGAATTTGGGGATACGATCCATTTAGTAATCCATCTGCTAGTTTTTCTTTATGGTAAATCATCCAAATATGAAGGTTTTACACCAACAATGACAATGGAAATCATTGAACACCATGGAGAAAACCATGAAACCATGGAACAATAAATGCCCATCATGTAAAGATGAAAGAAAACACATGAATCACGAGAAGAGAGAGTCGTGAGAAGCTGGTCCATTTTGAAAATCGGGCCTGCCGGCAGGTAAACGCACCGGTGTTCAAATGGGTGTCTTGTCTGGTGATTTTGCAGCTGTGTGTCACAAGCCACTTGCAATCACTTGTATACTTATATATTCATATCATACATATAGTTGTGGAAGATCTTGGACGTATTTTCTACAATGTTGGAACCCCCCCAGTTACAAGTTGATTTATAAACCCCAATAATATGTATATATATATAATTAGTTATAATAGTTTTAAGTATTGTAAATCACTTAATTATAAACCTACTTAGCTATCGTTTTGGGGGACCCACTTTGTCGGGTTCAAAGTGTGAGTGACCACGTCACCGGGCTTGCAAGTCCAGCACCTTCCATGAAAGGGTCATAGGTGTCCGTGGTGTCCTAGTTTGGAATCGTGAAGTTGGTTCAGAACTAGATTTACTATGGTTGTCTATGGTTCATGGTAGATATCTATCTATCTATCCATCCATCCATCCATCCATCCATCCTTCCTTCCTTCTATCCATCTATCCTATCTATCCTATCTATCCTATCTAATCTGATCTAATCAAATCTAATCTGATCTAATCTGATCTAATCTGATCTAATTTGATCTAATCTGATCTAATCTAATCTAGACTTATCTTATCTTATCTTATCTTATTTATCTACCTATCTATCTATCTACCTACCTACCTACCTATCTATCTATCTATCTAGCTACCTATCTATCGATCTATCTATCCATCTCTCTCTCTCTCTGTCTATCGCTCTATCTCTCTATCTCTCTATCCCTCTATCATATCTATCCTATCTATCCTATCTATCATATCTATCCTATCGATCCTATCTATCATATCTACCATATCTTTCCTATCTTTCCTATCCTATCCTATCCTATCCTATCCTGTCCTATCCTATCCTGTCCTGTCCTATCCTATCCTGTCCTGTCCTGTCCTATCCATCTATCCATCTATCCATCTATCCATCTATCCATCTATCCATCTATCCATCTATCCATCTATCCATCTATCCATCTATCCATCTATCCATCTATCTATCTATCTATCTATCTATCTAGATACTATGTATATATATATATATATACCTAGGAGAGTCTATGGTGTATGCTAGATATATTCATACTATTCATTGGGGTTACAAACCAACAAACATGTCACTGGGGTCATCATGACTTTCATCATGACTTTGGTCTGTGGCATGTGGGGTACCTGAAAATTATGGCCAAACCACTGAGAATTCCCATGGAAGACATACTGTGGATGGTTGCGAAATCCTACAGAAACCATCTATCAACTGGTGAAACCCTAAGAGTAATGGGATTTTTCCCATCTATCGATTCGGATTTCTTAACCATGTAGACATAGTATAATTTGTCCATGAATTGTGAACAAATTTGCTGGAATCTCTGATTTTCAGACACAGGGAAGCTGTTTTCAAGTTGTATACGTAGAGTTGCCATTTCAGCCCAGTTGCGATGTGGGGTCCCGTTCCGGTCCCCATGATCGTTGTAGATATCTCTCGAGTGAACATAAACCAACTCTTACCTGAGGGGGCACCACAATGTACAGTAATATATTATAACATAGCGAACTGTCAGATTGCGAGAGGTTATACTGTAGTAGCCAGCAATGACTGAAGTCTTCGGTATGGCTTAGAATCCCGTCAATTGTAGATATGATGTTCTCCATATATAGGGGTACACCAAGCTCGCCGGATGGTTTATACTGGAAAATCCCTACCTACAAATGGATGATTTAGGGGGTACCCCCATTTCAGGAACCTCCCGTAGATCTACTAGAAATCATGTTGTAAGTCCAGCCGTAAAGCTGCAAATCCACAACTTCCGGGTGTCTCTGAAAATGGGGGATACCCCCAAAGGGCAATCTTTAGAGAAAAATGATGACTAACCAATGATTTAGGGGTTCCCTATTTCAGACAAACCTTTACCTACTGCGCATGGTTGCGAAATCTTGCACCAGTTGACAGATGGTTCATCCCATTATTTATAGGGTTTCAACCATGCAAGATGCTGCAGGATTTCCCAACCATCGACAGTATTTTGGGGTAAAAAACGGTGCAGCTTATTTGCATCACTTTGATGTGCGCGGCCCTAAGGTTGCTGCCACTGGCATTGCTGCCTTCGTCGGGGGAGCTCTGTTGTTTTGCTTTGGGGCCGGTGGCAGCATGGGAATCCATCGAAACATGAAGCTAGCTTCAAGCATCGTGCTAAGCGAAGCAGAAAGGCAAAATGGATTGGTCAAACAAGATATGGAATTCATGGGAATTCACTATGGTTGAATCGAGAATGTACACAAAATTCAGCCTCGTGAGAACCCATCACAGGTGGAAGACTCATCCATTTTGCTTGGCGATGGCTCTGGGATTGAACTTGTTAGCAAACTGGATGGAGAATGCAGGGTGTTGCGGTGTTGCTTGCGCTCGGCTCGTGTGCCTCTAAATGGGCACTATCTCATTCATAGGGGCGCAAGAATATCCCTCACACTGCCTGAATATCTGTTGCAGAAGCATGTTTGCCCGCAGCCTTTTCAAGCCGAAGTGACTTTATGTCAGAAAACCAGCAACCACAAACCACCAGATATTTGACAGCTTGCAGGGAGGTTGGTGAACGTCTGACACATGCCCTTTGTTCTCTGTACCATGAGCTAATTGACAAACATTGACATATAGTAGTGATTCAGTTATAGAGTCAAAGTAGTGATTCAGTTATGAGTGTTCATAGAGTTATCTGAAGTAATTTTATACCCCATATAGTAGCGATTCAGTTATAGATAGGTTCATAGAGTTATCTGAAGTAATTGAAGTTTGGCGACGGGATTGATGGAGTGCACCAAGTAAAATAAAACACTCATCAAAAGTACCAGAAGGGATGCAGAAAGCTAAGCGTTTCAACAGACAAAGATATCCGAAAGCTCCAGATGGTGACTGGTTTAATCTTGAATTACAATGGGTTTATCATTAATCTTGAAGATAAGTTTCTACTTGGTTAATGACAAACCAAAAAGATAAACTTGATTTCAGCAACCCATTGGTTGGAACTTGCAGAGTCACCAGCCGACTTTCCCGATGGTTCGACCTTTTTTATCGCACCTGGATGATGCAACCGTCCTGGAAGATACAGATCTCAGAAGATCCGCTGGGCAAAAAGCTGCGACTTCCGGGGGGCGAAAAGCTGGCTCAGTGGTTCTGAACCTCTGCTACCACAGCTGCAGAATGAGGAAATTATAGGACATTTGGTTCATCGTTCAGCGGAATCAATGCCATTCTTTGGCCCTCCCTGACACAATCAAACTTTAGCAGGTGTGACGCTGCCAAGCAGCCTGCAGACTTGGACCTTTGGAGATTTGTTCAATCAGAGCTTAGAAGGTGTGACATTAATTGCCAAACAGCTTGCAGACCTTAATCTTGGGAAGGTCGTTCGATCGGAGTATAGCAGGTGTGACCCTGCCAAACAACTTGCAGACATTGACCTCTGGGGCTAGCTTCAATCAGACTTTGGCTGGTGTGATGCTACCAAGCAGCCTGCAGACTTTGACCTTCGGGCTCAACTTTGATCAGACTTTGGCTGGTGTGACGCTGCCAAGCAGCCTGCAGACTTTGAAATTTGGAGAATTGTTCAATCAGAGTTTAGGATGTGTGATGCTGCCAAGCAGCCTGCAGACTTTGACCTTTGGAGATTTGTTCAATCAGAGCTTAGAAGGTGTGATGCTGCCAAGCAACTTGGAGACTTGGACCTTTGGGCATTTGTTCAATGAGAGTTTGGCGTTTGCGACGCTGCCAAGCAGCCTGCAGACTTTGACCCTCGGGCTCAACTTTGATCAGACTTTGGCTGGTGTGACGCTGCCAAGCAGCCTGCAGACTTTGACCTTTGGGTGCCACTTCAATCAACCTGCAGACTTTGACTTTTGGAATTAATTTCAGTGAGAGCTGTGAGTCTAGAGGGGTGCCAGACTTTTTTATTTGGGGGAGGGGGGGCTTTGTGAAGGGGGGGGTGGCTTCTTGGAAGAAGAGGGTGGGCGGGGCTTCTTCGAAGAGGGGAGGGGAGGGAGCTGGCCTCCGCGAAGAAGCCCTCTCCTCATCCTCCTCCTTCACCCGGACTCGACGAAGAAGCCAACCCCCCCTTGGAGCCTCACTAGACCCCTCAGCCTCCCCCTACCCTTCTTTGAAGAAGCCACGACCCCGCTTCAAGACAGTCAGAAAGGCTGAAAAAGAGACCGACGACCTTGTCAGCGCCTGGAATGTGAATAGTCTACCCTCCAAACACGTATCCCCGGCTTGGGATGTAGGTATGTTGAAGTTGGCTTATAACTTTATAAACCCCATTGACTATATATACCTGGGCCTCCCGGCCCTGCATTTTTTTAGTACCCAGTCTGAAGGTCCAAAATTTCAAACCCCAAACATGAAAACTGACCCTGGTCAAAATTTTAGACCCTGGCATTTTTGGGATCTTGTAGATGCTTATCATTTTGTGGCATTCTTACACCTGATGCCCTGCCGCCTAGCCAATGTGCTTCATCCAACACTCAGTGGAGATGTGGGCACAACTGTGATATTTAAGATCTGCATGGCCCAAACAACAAAAATGACCTGGATTTCAATGGTTAACTTGTTGATCAAAGGGCATTCAAACGGTTTCTTTTTCACACCCTGTTTTCCAAGCTGCGGGTTGCCAAGCCATGGCATCATTGGCTCTCTGTGAGAACCACACGCTAGCCACCCGGTTGCAAATGAGGACAAATCAAAATTTAGCAGCTGAACATGGAATCAAACCATATTCACAACTTTTGCATAAGAGTTAGGATATCTTATACTGCACAACCAGGTGTTATTTGTTCTTTCGTTTCTTGAATCGCTTCAACACGAATCTTGCCTTCACCTTATATGCTAATATGGTGTTTTCGACCACATTGGTATGGGAGATTCGTCTGGATTGTCGACTCAAATGGCCGATAAAATCCTCGCTCATGGAACAATCAAACATTGCTGGGTTGCATGCATATTCTTCAAAGCACAAAAGCGCCAAATGAACAGCAAAGTGATCCATGGCATGGATCTTTGGAACCATTGCAAAAAGCTGAAGTCGGTTGTCGTAGGCCCACTTGGCTAACCTTGCGTAATCCTGAACGAAACCTTTCCCACATCGCATGATGCGATCTCTGCAGCTTGACTTCAACCAAATACCATGTCTATGAATGGCCTGGAAGGATAACCCATTGCAGCAAGCTCTCAACACCAAGGGAAAGAGAGGTGATGATGGGTTTGCAGGACCATGTAGCCCACTCAAGAATTTCAACCATTTCAGTAAAAGGATCGAATCACTTCCTTTCCCTCCACACCAAGGAAAAGTTCCCATTTTTGGCATGTGAAGTTTCTCTTTCGAGAAGGATCGTAGCCCAGCAGGCGATACATTGTGCTTATCACACCAAAGCGAGAAGGAACTCCAAGCTCTGGACAAGCGAAGGTCGATTGACTTTCCAGCACCATCAAGATCGAACACCCCTTCCAAGCAGAACAGCACAATGACAGAACCAATAAAATTTCGCGCTATTCCCAAACGAAAAATGTGAAACGGATCCCTTTTGAAGAACCGGGCAGAATCTCCAGCGTTCCAATCGTCAAATGGTATGTGCTTGAAGGGCGGTGGTTGCACCCAGGGCACTGTTTGGTACAAACTGTTCTTCCAACCAGGGTCTGAGCTAACATCCTCAAAGGGATAGGTGATGCTTCCTGCCATGCATTCGTGGCAGCATGGGATGAAATTGCGGTGCCCCACATTCTGGTAGGACCTGTTCAGAACTCCAGTTTTTGCATGGTACTCCATGTCTCCAGCCATTCCCAAGACAGCCACATGATACCTCGTGTTTCCAACTGCAATGCCGTCGCAGCAAGCAATTCTGAGGTCTTTGGACATGGCCTCCAAGATTGACTGGAGGAGGCCTGGAGTCGTCTTGAACCGCTTGCTCGGGAAGGCAATAGACAAAAAGTGGGTCAAATATGAATTGTTTTTGTTGTTCAATCTCTGCGCCATGGGATTCCCTTTTCTCAACCCATGATAAGACATAGAGTTGCTGCAGCTGCATTTGAGAGCCGGCTCTCCAGTATCAATCCCTAGGGCAGGTCTGAAACTGACAACCTCCAAAGGCTGCTTCTTCAACGTTCTTCCAGCATCTCCATGAAGTATCAATGGCACTGTTTGATCTAGACGGAGCTTGTTCTCAGTCGCCATCTGGTAAACTTGGTGGGTTCCATGTTCGGTTTTGTACAACTCCCAGAACTTATTCAACATTGAATGGGCTCCTGGACCAGGCTTAAGGCCACCCAGCAGTAGCCAAGGTTCTGTGGCAAACAAAAAAGTCAGCATATCGGTAGGCTTGATGTAGGGTAGCTTCACAGTCACCCCATTCTCTTCAAACAGGTGGTAAGATGTTGCAACCCTCCTGGATGGGATCATGGTCAAGATTGAAATAGCAAGTATATCACCAATCCGGGGCCAAGACTGCAACCCACCCAAAAAAAAATAAGTTGAAGTCAGATCAAAGGGTCAGAGCAAAACCAAACCTGTTCACAGCACGTTTGTACTGCCTAGATGCATGTTTCCGTTTGCAACCCAGCACCCCTGTCGTTGACAGTTGGGGTGGCTCTGCTGCATCAGCCGTCTCTTCCCGCAAGGCATCCGAGTGTTCAGCCAATGATACTGCAGGAGCCTTGGCTAAACCAGAGCCGGGAAAGTGACCGGCATGGGCATTTTTTTGTGTATGCTACTTGGTGCATACAAGTGGCCCCATCAGCTACCTTTTCCACCAAATGTTCCAACAAAGGCATGTCAGCCTCTTTGGATTGACCTGGCACTGTTGCCATGATTGTTCCCCTTTACATTTTCAATTTGAGTTTATATATATATATATACAAACAAATATAGATAGATAGATGGATGGATGGATAGATAGATAGATAGATAGACAGATAGACAGATAGGTAGACAGACAGACAGACAAACAGATAGATATATAGATAGATAGATAGATAGATAGATATAGATATAGATATAGATATAGATATATATAGCCAAAGTTAAAAATTTTATCCTCCTGTCTTCACTGGATACAGATCGAAAAGCAATGCAGCACATTTTTTTCAGGACCCAGGCCATGAATTGGCCAATGGTAGCCATGTGGATTAACACTGGATGTAATCACCCAGGTTGACAACAAGGATGGTCTGTCACCCTGTGTTGTTTGAACACCCCAAGAGCGTATCTGGTGCCAGCATTGGTTTCAAAGACAACTTTTTGATACTACATACACAAGTTGCATTTTCATTTGGTATGTGTGTTGTTTTACTCCTCTACTGGCCCGGCACATTCCAAGTATTTGCACCACCTTTGGTGGCTGCTCACCTGTTCCTATATCACTTCGACCTCCTAGACGACTTTGGCTCCGACTTCACTTTCGGCGCTGGTGTGTTCGGAGCGTTCTCCTTCTCAAGATCCTTCTGGCGTTTTCTTTCCATAGCTTTGATATGGTTCAGGAATGGCCTTAGCCACATGCTTTTGGTTTCAACCATGTTTCCAACCAGTGGGCACAATGTGTATATATATATATATACATGCATATATAACCCTGACCTGGGGCTTGAAGGTTTGAACCAGGCCCACCAAGTTTCTCACTGCCCTCGCGTGGTCAGGCTCAAAGCTTCAGCGCACCTCAGCATGACCAAGGCTGTCAGGACAGATGGAATCGGGAAGCGGGAGAGGGAAGAGGACAAGAAATCTACCATAGCAATTAAAGTATATATAATATCATTGCTATTATGTTTATTATTCTTATCATTGACCCTAATATCATTCTGGAAATCGTGGGGTTGAATGTGCTCATTGCAAAATTAAAGGCCTACTCATGACTTGTTTCCTCCCAAGCAGTGGTTCGGATTGTTGAAGCCCAGCGAACAAGATGGCACACATGCCGCAAGCATTCAAATCGAATTAAGGCCTGAATTATCCGACTCTTTTGAGTTGGTCAGCCCGCCCACCTGTGACATAGGTATAGTATGGAGGGCCCCCATGTTTTTTTCTGTTGAGGCCCCCCTCTCCACCAGTCCCTGGTGAGTTTCTACAGCCAGGGACAGAATGAAACTCCGAAATTAACGCTGCTTCAACATGTGGGTTTCACCAATATCATCACTGAGACAAATGATCCACATGTTAGTAAATGCTTTGGCCCTGTAATCTTCGAAACGATCAAGGGGGTTTGCAGTCACTCCTATTTTGAAAATGCAAAGGGCCAGCCCAAGAAATTCTCTGAACGCAGTGATTTGCTGTTTGCAATGGGCAAGAATCTTGCCAGATGTTGGCTTCCTCGGCTGAAGCACCTTCATAGTTCTGTTGTGGATGTTGTGCCGTAGAAGCACATCCCAGCCAAGAACCGGTCGTTCACGCGGGGGGGTGTCTTCAACACTAGCCTGCAGATAAATGCTATTGGCCAAGATTAACACATCGGTCGACCCATTTTAAATTGCAATTCCCAATGAAGGTCATCCACTTCCAAACCCAAAAAACGCCCTAAAACACCAGGATGGCGGACTACTTTGGAGGCATGGGGCTGGACACTTGAAGGGTCTATTTAACATTGGGCTGTCATGTCCTGAAAAAACAACTTGAAAGATTCAACCGAGCATCATCTTCAGAAAGAGAAAGACGATCTTTCTTGCAGGTGGGGGGATTGTCCAAACCAGCGCTGATGGCACATCTCTTTTGGCCAGTAAAAGGACATGTATACGTCAGAAGGTCCACGAAGAAATCATCCATTGCCAGTAGGCCCAAAGACTGAGGTTAGGAAACCGTGTCTTTTACCTTCCAGATGAATTCAACAGAATAGTTGCCTTATATGGTTGTGGAAAAGCATTTTGAAAATGCCCTGATTGATTACCATATTCTCAGCATTTTGCTGTTGTCACTGCAAGCTCCTATTTGTTTTGAATAAAGAAAGGATGCTGCATGCATATCTGGTTGTTTGTGTCTATGTTGCACTGGTGCGCATGCCTTCCCATCAGCAAAAAGGCTGCAACTTGCAATTTCAAAACGTAACTCTCCAAGGTTGCAAGCACATATAGATCTAGTGCCGCCCCCTTAAAATATCCGCAGCCCACCCTGGCCCACCCGCAGGCGGACAAGACGCTCTTTCCTGGCTTCTTTGAAGTGATTCCCAAGCTCATCCTGGTGCCTGGGCCGCGTGAGAGATGTGGGACCGCCGGGTTGTGACGGTCAGGAGAAGAACTTACCCCGTGATAACAAGGATAATATATATTATATATATATATTATAATGTATACAATATAAGTATAATATAAAACCAGGTAACTCACTGGAGAACCCACTGATGATGCCCAATGTGTTGACTGCAGTGATCTTCCCCTCAACGTTGACAAGGGCTTCATCAATTTGCGATGCACGCTTGGAAAGCCTCAGATAGAACCATGCTACATGACGATGGGCAAACATGAAAAGACATTCTTAATGTCACAGTGTTTGCACTTGGTAAATAAACAACACAACCGTTAATGAAAGGGACGCTTCCACAGTCTCCGGTGCTTCCTCCAAAACTTCTAAGCAAGAGATTATGTTGTGCATCTTGACTCGCCACTTTGCGATGGCCCCAAGGATGCGCTGAATGTAGGATGAAGGGAGCCCATCATCATCCATCAAGGGGAAACTCAAACTTTTCAGGGCCTTCTTGGTGTCAACCCCCCCGTCGGCTTCAATGACAATGGTGGGATCTGCGGCCGGGTCGAACGGCTAATAGCGAAAGGGAGGTTGCCGGAAGTAAAATGGCCATGTTCTGCAGTTCATGTTTTTCCAACATATTAATTGCATGGATAAGGTTTTTTGATTGTACCACAAAAGATTCAGTCAAAGACACCTGTTGTGTCCTCTGGGAGCTGCCAGTCACTGGGTAAGAGGTCCCCATCAAAGGCCGACTTGGCTTTGTTCATTTCATCCTCAGAAAGATCCTCATCATCTTCCAGCACCTCCCGCTTTCGCTTCCTAAGTTTGAATTCCAATTACCATGGGTGCACAACCAAAAAGCAGAAGTCATCCTTAACTGAATTTAGTACAGTATCTACTTTGAAGTTGCCTTCACTTTGCAATATGCAAATTGAGAGCGGGTTTAAACATATCCTAGCATCAACTTCCGGCCACCGATCTTGAGCTCAACCCAGTAAAGCTTCACCTGCTTCTCATACTTGTCTCGCCTCAGGATGTCATCGTTTGGCAACAGCAATGACCCAGAAGTTGGAGAAAAGGCGGGGTGGGCATGCCATCCCAAATTATTCATATATATATATATGTATAACTATTCCAGGGCCCAGTCACCGCACCCAGCCCTTCTGTTGGTCACATAGAGCTTTGATAGCAGCGATGCGGGTCCTAAGCTGAAGGTTAGGCAGGCAAAACAATCAGAGATGACTGCACGGAACCACTATTATCAAGTAAAGAGCGAGAGAGAGGCAGAGAGAGAAAGAGAGAGAGAGAGAGAGCACTGTTCCAAACACAGGGTGAGAGCATGGCCTTTAGCAAACCCATGTTCCCAAAACATTCAGCTACAACTAGTTTGGGAAGCCTTGATTCCACTTGCAAGAAGGGACCCAACTTGAATATATGCATGTGTATGTGACAAGGTTCTCCTTGTAATTATCATCAATCATGTCCTGTTCCGACATGAACTCACCCTCAGTATACAGGTCATCCTCACTAATCCGCTCCACCTTCCTGCGGCAGGATTTGATGAAAGCATCCTGCGCCAACAGCGGTGGAGACAGGACCCATCCATGGTCGCAGGGCACAAGCATATATATGTAGCAGAATTATGCATAAATTAAGAAACAAATTTTCATATATACAACATAAACTATCTGCTAGATAATTGGCACTCTGTATGTTTGCATGCTTGATACATGCATGCTTGTTCAGAAAAAAAAAACGGTGCAGACGATAATAATTTTATCTTCAGTATCGTCTGTCTCTCCTGTTTCAATGGTGACTTGAGAAAAACTACAAGCTGAAGAACTTTCTTTGATAACATTTGCAAACATGACAGTGGCAGCAGTTCTCGGATTTACATGAGTGTGCTTTCTTTTTACATCTATCATGTGATATTCATACATCATGTGAAAATGCATATACTGCATAATAAGTGGATATACCTGACGTAAAATATATTTCAGTAAGTTAAAATCTCTATTATAGATAAATGCAAAAAGAACGAGATATCAAGAATAATGAACACCGTATGAACTCATACCATACAAGTTCTGGAGCCCTATAAACATGTCCTTGTCACCGTTGTGTTTTCGGAACAGCTGTAGCACTTCAGCCCGACCACCACCAGCAATGTCTTTGAATTTCTCCACAATCTCATTGGGTACTAGATAGGTCCCATCCATACGGGGCTGCACCAAGCGACGAAGAACTTTCATCTCACTGCTTTCCCCAGTTGCCTTGGGCACGTTGTTTAATTTGGAAAGCAATCAAGAAAGGGTCCGGCACTTCAACAGCTATTGTTGATTGTTGCACTTGTTGACAAGTAACCCTGATGGGAGTGAATTTCATTTCAAGCGGGACCGGCGGGACCCGAGCCGGAGTCACAACATGATCACTTTGGACACCAACTTCCGAGGCATCAGCCTAGGCAAGGCCAGGCAAATCATTAATAAGGTTGAGTATCCTGTATCACACGTGTGTGTGCACATATATGCATGCACATGTATGGAAACAAGGCATCATGCATGCACCAAGTAACAGGTTTGGAATCCACAGAACCGGGAGTTGCTTCCAGGATACAGGGCTGGTCCTACAAGCTTACAGGACATGGGGCTGGTAAGAAGTAAAATGGGAAACCACCTGGGCAATTGCAAGAGAGAGTGCTGTCCTCATCCTCCGGTATGTTTCCCAAAGCTGCCATCAGAGCATCACCAAATTCGAGACAAGAATCATCATCCTGCAGGACTCAACAGCACTTGAAACTTTTATTTGGGCATGCTTAAAATAAGGTGCCCTGGTTTGGTCCCAAAACGGCGTTTAAATAATGGAAAAAGGGTGCCCCATTAGCAGCCTCATTTTGACATATCTCCAATTCTTTGGTCAGCAGGTGCCCAACGGTTTTTTTTTGGAAAGGAACCCACGGATCAAAAATCCAAATGGGCGGGGTAGCCCACAAACAAACAGACTGCCTTTATTCTATATATGTTTTTTGTATATAATCTCTAGCGCATTACCATTGCCATTGTCTCATATTCCACAGATGCCAGCATAAGGGGGTTGTATAGACCCGTTTTTGGGAAAACTTTAATGCCATACGTACGTGCCCATATGAAAAAAAAACAGTTGTGGGGCATCCACACTATCGACCCTCTCCTGACCACCACCTGGGACGTAGCTATATGGATCACTGAGCGTATTCCCATCCACATCCTTGAGGTCCAAAGGGTCCTTGTGAGATCAACACATATCAAAAACAGTTTAAATAAAATTTCAAAACTGACTAACACAGTGAGAAGGACCTAGGATTGAATTCTGAATAATAAGCACCAACAATACTGATAATGTCCTTTTCGTTGGGGGAACATCCATCATCAAAGAAGGCATCAGGAAGAACCCTGGCAGGTTCCGCGGGGCAAACCACGTGACCATCATCCTTAGATTCAACAGCATGCAAACCACCTTTTTTGTAGATTCAAGACTCGCATGGCACATAGGATGTGGCATATTCACATTGTTAATTGAGATTGTATGACGAGGGGCCACGATTGCTGGAATTGTTTCATCATCAGGCCCAGCAGTCTGTGAATCCAAAGAACGGACAGGTGTTGGTAGAGGTCGAGTAGCCTCTTCTTCTCTACGTCGTTTCACTGCCTATACGGACAAAGGTATATGAAACGGAATGGCCCAAGGTAATGGGTGGAACAAGGGATACCAAAACATCAGCAGGTCAACAAATTGTAGCAGGTCAACATGACCGGCCTCCAGTTCACGAAGTTCCGCTTCAAGTTCTTGAAGGTTCAGGTCACTAAGATCCGACATACCCGCTTCAGTTTTTACCAACTGAAGCCCTGCAGCTAAAGTCTCTGTGCTAAAAACCCTAGAAAGCAGCTGCCTAGGCATATGGCGCCCCAACTGTATAGGTCCACTGAACAGGCTGCATGATCAGGCAACCCAGGGATGTTGTAAGGACATGACACATGAAGGCTTGACATGCCCCCCCTGAATTTTCTTCATGAAAGGGATGCAGATGAAGTCTCAAACTACAGACCGGGTTTTTCCGCCCCTTACCCGGGAATTTCCGCCCCTTACCCGGGAATTTCCGCCCCTAATTTTTGGGGATCATGAAGAAATTAACATAAGGATGCAATACTAAAGGTTTCATGAAGAATCTTCATGCATGAAGTTTCCCTTTTAGTAAGCCCTCTTCATGAAGTTTTTTGGCAAAACTCCATGCATGAAGGGAAACAAGCCTTCATGCATGAAGTTTTGATCAAAACTGCATGCATGAAGTTTCCCTTTGGGAAATCTTAGTCATGAAGTTTTCATTCAAAACAAGTTCTCTTTTAGCAAGCACTCTTCATGAGGTTTTTTTTTTATAACACCTTCATGCATGAAGTTTCCCTTTGGCAAGTCTTAATCATGAAGTTTCGATCAAAACTGCATGCATGAAGTTTCCGTTTGGGAAATTCTGGTCATGAGATTTTCCCTCAACACCACACTCATGAAGTTTCTCTTGGGTCAACCTCTTTTTCTGAAGTTTTGATCAAAACTTCATGCATGAAGTTTCCCTTTTTTAGTAAACCCTATTCATGAAGTTTCTGTTAAAACTGCATGCATGAAGTTTCCCTTTGGCAAGTCTTAATCATGAAGTTTCGATCAAAACTGCATGCATGAAGTTTCCGTTTGGGAAATTCCAGTCATGAGATGTTCCCTCAAAACCACACTCATGAAGTGTCTCTTTGGTCAGCCCCTTTTCTGAAGTTTTGATCAAAACTTCATGCATGAAGTTTCCCTTTTTAGTAGGCACTCTTCATGAAGTTTTTGTCAAAACTGCATGCATGAAGTTTCCCTTTGTCAAGCCTTCATCAAGTTAAGATTTACCAAAGCAGCATTCATGAAGTTTTCTTGGGATTTTCCGGTCATGAAGTTTTTACATTACAAACTTCATTCATGGAGTTTCTCCTATCTAAACAAAAGTCATAACATGTTAACTCCTCTGAAAAGCCCGCAAAGATGATTGGTTTAAAATGATTACACTATAGATGCAGTTTGATTATGATGTCAATTGGATAGAATAATTTACGGACTCTAAGGTCACCCCAAATTACTGAATATTACATTCATAGGTTCGCGCGAACCTTGGTGCCATAGCCTTAATTGGTGCTTCAAGTATGAGGGGAAAACTCCATCACCTAGAATCATGCCCCATTTTTTGTCAGCACCTTCACAGCGGTCAGCTGCAGGAAGGAAACTTTGCAAAAGACATCCTCGAAGATGCCACGTTCTGGCATCTGGATTGCATGAGACCTGTTGCTATAAATGTATATTTTATAACTTTTTGAACCAACAGTCAATACAGTAAATCAGGTTTGGGGACCACATGGCTATATATATATATATAGTGATATTTATATATGCACTTACCATTAGATCTCCGTAGGCAAAAGGGGTCTCCACCCATCAGGAATGATGAGTTTTTTGGCCCCTCTGACGTATTGAATTACATCCCTAAGATCCGCTTCTTGTTCCCATGCTTTGCCCTCATCATCATAAGACATTGCCGCAAATTGCTCCTGTAGTGGCTCTGAAGACACCTGCCAACGCTGTGGGACTAAGCCAGGATTGGGATTTCCAAAGCTAGCATGTGGAGGAGCTACTATAGCAAATATATAACATATATAACATATATAACATATATAACATATATAACATATATAACATATATAAAATATATAACATATATAACATATATATCATATATAACATATAATTATATGACATATATGACATATATGACATATATGACATATAGTATATATATATATATATACATGTAATCTATCACGCCTCGACAGCAAAGGGCCGCCCTCTTGCATCAGACCGGAAGTCCGGTAATAGTGTTATCAGCTTGGCAGCATACTTGTAGGTATACTTCCTAAGTTGACTTCCCAAAAAGGTAATCGTGGACCATGTCTGAAGGAATTGACATGTCTAAAGTATGTCAAATGTAAACAAACACAATATCGACAAGATTCTGAGAGCCTTTAAGGCTGGAATTGCCCTTGAACTTTGTCTCTCCAGACTTGTTCTTGTAACGGGTTGTGGTTGGACGAGCCGTGGACTTTTCAGTAGCTGTCAAAGGTCCCCGATCAAGAGCTGCTATACGGTTTGAGTTGGCCCATAGCCATGTTCTTTTCCATGAATTGCATCCATATTTTCTCATCCAAAAAGCCACTTTTTGTATCTGAGCTGCATGGACAAGTTTGAAATTGATATGATTTTGAACCATAGGAAGGTTACCCCACACAGATATATATATATATATATCTGTGTGTGTATACTTAAACCAAGAGGGCCCAGCACAAAAACAAACATCCGCACGCCCAGGAACCTCCACGCCGTGCTTCCGGAGCTGCTCTAGAAACCAAACCCACCGAGGATGGAAGGCAATCAGGGAGTTGCCCGGGTTTTCTACCAGGAATACACCATTCGCTAAGTAGGTGATCAGCATCAAAATAACGCTTCTTCAGGGTAAATCAACTAAACTCTTGTGTGCATGTGGATTCAAGTGGAACCAGCCAATAAATCAATGCAGCGATGATAAGTTGAATTCAATTTTGAAGGGGGTTCTGTCTCCAAAACAATTTTGTGCCCAAGTCCTTGCTACAAGTTTGTTCCCACGTCTGACTCCCACAAATTCTTCGTTTCCAAGAGGTGTAAGAATACTTCGCCAAGTGCTTCCACGGTTCACTGGCACAAATGATGAACATACTATTGCTAGGAAGGCCGCTACAGCTTCCCATTCCGAAGACAATAGCAAATGTATGCATAACCTTGGGAGTAGGCTCTGAACATAAAACATATATAATCATTGTTTTCCCCATTGGCCAAAATTATTTAAATTTGTTTTGGTGCCATCCCGAACCATTTCCCCACAAACTGTTTGCAGTGGTTTTGATGGAAAAACAAGGGGTACCTATTAAGCTTGTTGCAGACCTGTAACACCAGGCCAGCGTTGCCATTCAAATCCATAGGTGGCCGCCGACCCATCCTTTTACCCCATTCCCTGGAATAGTCGATGTCCACCGCGGCAGTGGTAAATCCGCAAAGTTTTGCCAAGGCAGCAATTCGTCCCACACCAGCAAAATATTCTATTACTTGGTAAGGTGCATCATGATGTTTGGGAATGTCAAGCCACCAAACCAAGAGGACCAGAAGAACCACTACCTTGGCACTACCATCTTGCAAAATGATTTGTTGCAAAATTATGGCTGCAGGGTTTCGTTTGAGATTGAACAAAAAATGCATCCCAAGATTCTTTGGGCGTATTCACAGCTATCATACGCTTCACGAGGAGGTCAAATTGAGAGGGTGTCATGGCTGAAAACCGGCGACACGACGGCCAAACAAAGGTATACTATATACCATTGTGGTTGCAAGCCAATGTTGGTGCAAAACTGATCAACCCATATGATGGTATGTAGGGACCAGTACAAGTTCATGGGGCCAATTGATGTTGCATTATCCCTGGCTAGCCATCCCCTCTAGATTGAAGATATCCCCTGTAGATTGAAGATAGGGCAACACTTGTTTTGTCAGCTTCTGTTCGAGAAGGAAGATAATGGACATGGAAGGCAAAAACAGCTGCAATGCCAATCTCACTGACAGATGTGCATGCGACCCAGCTAAGCCCTCTGTTGTAAATAAAGTTCATTAGGATGGTGATGTCATAAAGGATAGCTCTTAGACAGGACCCTAAAGAACAATAGGAAACAAGCCGTGCCCACCTCTATCTGGGGGGCCACCGCCAAATTTCGCCAGGTTCATCCATCCCCTTGGAAGACCATAGGGTGGCATCAACCTGGCCGGAGCTACTGGGAGGCAGGAATCATTGGAAACACCCCTTTGCTGGAAATATACAACACAGATCCCCTATTCCAAAGATCTTTTGCACTGAGTTTGTGTTCTACACATGCATACACCTGTGTGTCACCACACGCAGGCACACACACATGCTTGGAACACTTATTGGAAAATATGCACGTATTAACATATGGGTCATCTAAGCCTTTGCATGCATATAATGAACTTTGGGCATGTTTTCCCATCTCCCCCCAAGGTGTTCTCACCAGGGTGTTTTCTTTTTCCACCGGATGAAGGCAGACAGCCAATCGCTAAGTACTGGCGCATATAGATTTGCAAGAACGCGTTGAAGCAGAACACATTCACTGCAGTAGCCCCTATTTGACATCCCCAAGAAGGATTTGCAGCCGTGGTAGCTGCCTGAAATTCACAACATTGTGAAATCGGACCCAACTAGGTGTTGATTCAACACCTCGAAAATAGAGCTCTCCTACAGGACTTGTGCCAAATCATATGGTAAAAATAAATCTTACTTACTTGTTTTTTTTCACGGAAACATGGTGTGAGAGTCCTGCATTGCCACACACAACCATACCGGTCAGAACTCCTAGGCCCCATTGGGAATTAATCATCAACAAAAACCAAGCCATTCTCCTCCAAGAACGTATCCACCTGAGCAGTGGCTGCTTCAGTCCACTTCTCGGGTGGGCAATCCGTCAAAGAATCATCAGCGGCAAACTTCTCCATGCACCATTCCCACCATTCCACCTGATAAGGGCGGAGGGGGACAAGTTGAAAACATCAACCTGCAAAACAAAGAATGGCCTGAAACAAATACAAAAATATCGTTGCTGGAATCATTGCTCAATAACATAATGTTGTTCAAATTATTTCAGCGCAAGTGTGTATTCCAAACCATCAATAATATGGTGCAGTAACCCTGGTATGTGAAAATCGATCTATATCATTGAAACAATACACTCACTATAAACCCCAAAAATACAAGAGTTTGTGACACGCAAGAGTGTAAAATTACCAGGCCTCCCACTGATAGATAGGCATCCCAAGGCTGTGAAGATGCGGGCACACATGGGAAGCAAAGATGTCCCTGATAGCATTGTACCTGTCCTTTGCTGGCGAAGTTTTGGGAGGAGGCCGGCGTGCAAAGGATTTCTTCCCCACCGCTGGCTCCAAAGGACGACGATCATCACCCGGATCAGCACCCCCCTCTTCACATTCTCCAGGGTGGCAATCAGCACCATCCCCATTGGTCACCCCCTCCTCCTGGTCCCATTGGAAAGCTGTGTTGATATCAGTTTTGCCATCCTGGGTGACAGGCTTATATTTGATGGGGGGTTCTTTCTTAGCATCGGGCTTTGCATCATCCTTGTCATCCTTCTCATCCTTGTCATCCTTCTCATCCTCCTGGGCTGCCTTTCCCTTTGATTTTGCCTTGGCCTTGGCTGCACCCTTGTCTTTGCTGCAAGCCCGTTTCCTGCCTGGTGCACCTTTTGCTTTAGCTGCTGGCTTTTCCTGGGAACTTGCTGCTGGGGCCTCTTCCAGGGTTTCATCACCTGATTCAACAACCTCAATTGTTTCAACCTTCTTCTTTCGACCTGCTTTGGCCTTGGCCTTGGCCTTTGATGCTGCTTTGCATTTTGCTGTGGGCTTTGCTTTTGCTTTCGGTTTTTGGGCCCATTGGTCTACCCGCATGACAAGTGGCGGCTCCCCAGAAACATCACCTGGAGGTGCACACTGCTCCAATTTGACATTGCTTTTGGGGGCTTCTGCAGGCTCGGACTTGACCTTCTTAGACGGTGGTTCTTTCACAGGGCTTTGGCTCGTCGGTGCTGGCGGATCTGCTTGCTGCCCCCCCTCTCCCAACGCAGGCTCGGACTTGACCTTCTTAGACAGTGGTTCTTTCACAGGGCTTTGGCTCGTCGGTGCTGGCGGATCTGCTTGCCCCCCCTCTCCCAACGGAACATCATCCTGTTCCATTGCCTCCGTCTCCATATTTTCCCCCTTGTGTTCCTCAGCCGGCTCTTGCTTTGGCACCGAAACCTGACCTTCAGTTTCCCCAACCTGTGTTTCTTCCAATTCAACCTGTGCTGCAACCTCTAGATCTTCTTTTGGCTTGTCATGTTCTGCTGTGGGGCTGGTATGCTTTGCTAGTTGTTTCCCAGGAGCACCCTCCACCCCATTCAAGGCGCTGCCACCAACATCATGTAGGGCAGATTCGGTAATGGTCTTTGCTGGCATGGGGTCCTTCGTCTCAATTGACTGGGGAGCGACCATAGGGGGTTCCTCTGACTCACCTCAAACCAGGGTGCAACCACTTATGCAAACCTTTTCAAGGACAGTTTGTGGCTAAAATCAAAATGTAACAGAAACAGGGAACGCACAATTTGAAAACACAACATTCTTTTGAAACCAACAGACCTGTGATCTGTTCCTCCAGGTTAGCTTTGCTGAAGTCACGGGCCAATGAACGACAAACCCCGGTTCCTGAAGGTGAACCCATTGGGAGTGAATCATCGATCTCAATCACAGGGCACCCCACTTGCATGTCAGCTGCTGCCTGGGTTGCATCATAGGCCTGGGTCTCCACAGCATCGCACATAGGCTTCTCCTTTTGCAAAGCTAGCAAATGCCTAGGTAGCCGGGAAACTGTCAAGGAAGGGTTGGCCCGGGATGGGGTTGACATCTATAAAGGATACTTTTTATTTTGCCTTTAGTGCATAATCGTTGGAGGGGTTAGGGTTTTACAATATCAAAACTTATCCGTTGGTGTTGAGACTAGATGCTTCAACTTGGCAATCCGGGCTTCAATGTCAGAACTGGACATTTTCTCCGGGACAAACGATGGCTTCAAACAAGGTTGGCAAGGCGATCCATGGACCAAAGGTTCACACGGGCTAGGAGTCTCCAACTTCTCCCCCACCTCACCCACGGCTCCCTCCACCTTTGCCTCAACCACCTCCTCCCTTGGCTCATCCCTTTCTGCCTTTCCCTCACCCTTCCCTGGCTCATCACCCTCCACCTTTGTCTCAGCAAGCTCACCTCCCTGAGGAAGCTCACCCTTCCCTGGCTCATCGTTTCCCTCAGCAAACTCACCCTTCCCTGGCCCACCTTCCTGATCATCTTCAGTCCACAGGGAAGTAGCATAGTAAGGGTCCATTTCCATGGGGGGGTCCTCAACCATCTCATCCTTCACTTCATAGAATTCACTCGAGTCTACTTCACCTGGGTCCTCATCCTCATCCTCTAGGTTCACCAGAGGTACAGGGCCTGGGGCCCTGGGGCGCCAATGCCGGAAGAGCTCGTCATAGAAGTCGTTCACCAAGGGGTCCTTATACAGAGAACAACTTGGCAGCCAACAATACTATCTGACATACAGGCTAGTATATAAGGCATCCAAAAAACTTACAGTTTGTAAAGGCCATAGCTGGGTTGAATAAAATCCCAAATCCAAGACTAATAAACACCTTTCTTCCATCTCCAAAAATATGAACTAAACAGAGGCCAAAGTTCCCTGCGGTTGGGGCTCTTTTCATTTGGTTTTCCAAACCCAGCTTTTCTGCAACCATAAGTGAATAGTTTCTTCAAGCCCCAACTATCTTGTTGCAGCAGCTTTGCGTTCAGTGGGTACTTGGCCGCGGTCTTCAGCGCGAACACCTGGGAGGGGTGGACCAACGAAACCAGATGTGCAAATAGAGTCTTCAGTGTCTTGTTTTGTTTCCACCACCAATGTGTTGAAAAGACATGTCCACCTTGTAAACTTGTTAGCCATTTTTGAAAATATGATGTATGGGTAAACCACTGTCACACACACTACATGCTTCACCTGCTGCCAGATTAAAAAGTAGTTGCTTTGCTTTAAAAAGATCCTGTAGATACACATGTTTTTGGTGCAGATCATTTGCCTGCCTCAGCCCTCATCAAATCAATCCCGGGGGACTTGGCAACTTCCTTGGTCTTTGGGCACCAATATTTGGCCAAAATCCTAAGTGCTCGCACATTGAGGGCTATGGAGGGCATGGCGATTTGACCCACCATCTCCACGCCATTGACGACAGGCCAACGAAGCAACTTGCCTTGCTCCTTGTAGCGGAGGCGGGACCTGACAAATGGGTCATTGTCAAGCATCCCGGCTAAAGACTTTGGGTCCAACTGGATGTCCTCAGTCTCCACATCGGGTTTGGTCTGTGGTGGTGACGGCATGGCTGGAACGGGGCCAGAACTCAGAACAACTACAAGATAGTGGATATACAGTAAATTCATGGTCCGTTTAGTGCTTCTGTTTTTTTATGCATCGTTTGGCAACACTGTTTTCACATGCGTTTTTCACAGAGAGCTGTGGCTGCAGAGCCAGTGGATGCAAGTGTGTTGCACATGGCCACCCTGACTCCCATGTGCTTTCCTCGATCAAACCACAAGCTTTCATATAATTGCACATGATAGTGTTAATTAAATATATATAACTGTTAATAAAACCATCTAAGTCAAGGACTTCACTGCACTCAAGAGAGAATGAATAAGAGGATGTTCCAGCTGAAAGAGTCCGCCAACACCGGCTGCCTCAGGTAAGCTGCAAACATGAAAGAATGACCTTCGGAGTTTGAAGGGCCGCTCCACCAAAGTTTGTCTCACCTGCATGTGGCAAGATCTCAGTGGAACCAGTGTGGAAATGATGGGCCCTTTGATGCCTTATAAGCAGATTACTCAGCAATAGGCTGTGTTACGTGTGCATCTTTCTCCAACACACAAACGCAAACCCACACCATTCCCACCAACTTCGGCTGGATGCAGACGCCTGGCTAATGAAGCTTGGCCGCAGCTGTGGGCATCACAATGCTGCATGGCACATGAGATGAAAAGGAGCTGCTTGAGCTGCTACACTTGGTATTACCAATGGTTATACTTGATCTGTCATTAGTTAATCAGTGGCACTCTTGGGACCCTGTGAACTTTCTGCTGCAAATGAATCTCAAGAGTTATCGATATAATATACATTTGGGATCTAGATTGAATTTGTTTGAGTAGGATCCATATGGGGGGGTCCTACTGGCGGTTCTCCAAATCATCCAAGTCATTAAATCAACTTTAGTATTGAAACCATATATGTTTTGGGGGTACCCCCATTTAGAATACCCCCATATCAACAACTTTCATTTACACCTCTTGGGGCGGCAGCACCACTGCCATCTCCCTTGAGCACAGCGGTGCCTGCGCTGCATGGAGTGGAACCTATGGGTGGGGTTTCCTAATTTGAAGTATGATATCAATGAAGTAAGTATGAATTGGGAAGTGATCATTGGGCATCCTGGTGAATATCATCACAAACATCAAGAAACATAAAAAACGACCCTAGTATGAAATTCATACCCAGATTTGAAAGGTCGAAATTCCCAGTAGGTACCAAAATTATACATACCTCGGGGGTTGCAGGTATATATATATATATATCCCAGAAATAATCATCCCGCTACTTATTGAATTGGAGACATAAGCCTACTTCGCGATTCCAAACATAGTTTCCCTTGATTTATCATGTTTGTTAAACCAATCCATGCATTTTCTGTGAAAATGCCGTGCCGCGTTTGAATCCTCTCAGGCATTCAATCTCTATGTCACCTTTTTGGTCGTCAAGTTGAGTCCAGCCACGAGCTCATTCGTTGGATCCTCAGCGGGCCAACTGGGCGCTCCCTCTGCGGCCGAAGGAAGCTGTGTTGAAAAGTGGAACTTGCAACGGGCTTATGTACTAACAATAGGGTGCAATAGCCATTATGGTACAGTAAAGATCATTAAAGTATCCAACTGGGAACTGAACTGGACCTTGATTTTGTTTTATCCATGGGGATATGATGTCTTTATACGGCTATTCGGAACACTGTTTGGCTATCAGTGGCAAGGCGTCTAACTTGACCTGAGTCAAGAGGATGGATCATCCCCACAGAAAGGGGCATAGATATACCGAAATTCACTGGGGAATTCCATAACTGGTTGGCGCTTTGGAACCGTGGAATTTTTATGATTTTCCATATTAATTGGGAATTTCATCATCCCAACTGACTTTCATATTTTTCAAGATGGTTAAAACCACCAACCAGATAAAAATGATGGGATGAGGATAGCTCATATACCATGTACTAGTAACTTGACAATTGCACATACTGTAGATATTCGACAGGGACCGACCATTCGTTGGTTGCAAGGGGGTGATTTCAACCATCTCCTGCAGCTGGCATTTCCAGACAGAAGGCCTCATTAAAATCGCTGACTTGAACCCCTAGTTGTGGTGTTTACAAACAGCATACCGTAATGACTAGGTTGACTACCACTTGCATGGGCTGAAATCTAGCAGTAGCATGGCCCATCATGGCCCATCATGGCCCATCATGGCCGCCCACAAACCAGTTGAACCCCCAAAATGACAGTCTAAAACCATGGGAAAACCATTGGAAAGTGGTGAATTCACTTAAAAAAGTCCTTAAAACCAGTAAACTGGATGTTCATGGAATTTTCCATCAGTTGTTGCGTTCGATTTCCAAGGATTTCCTTACGGGAAGCTGGACAACTTCCATCGTTTTTTTTCTAGTTACTGGCCCCACCAAGTCTCCGAGGCCGGAAACTTCAACAAATCTGTGGGAATTGTGGGTGCGCTCTTGTTTTTCGAGGCGCCAGAGAGGCTTTGATGATTTCGGGGGATGAAGCCTTTGACCACAATGGTTATTATATGATGGTTAATCTATGGTTAATCTATGGTTAATCTATGGTTAATCTATGGTTAATAATTGGAATAACAATATATCTGGTTGGTGGTGACTGGAACCATGGAATTTTATGACTTTCCATTCATTTGGGAATGTCATGATCCCAATTGACGAACTCCATCATTTTTCAGAGGGGTGGGCTCAACCACCAGCCAGATGGGATTAGTTATATAGATGTTGACTGGGATTAGTTAACAGGTGTTTTTTCAGTTCACAGGTGCTCATCATTTAGTGTTTTCCACTTAATTGGGATTAGTTAAGAGATGTTTCTTTTAGTCAACAGATGTGACTAGTGAGTGGGTGATCATCCAGTGGGGGTGAAGGATCAAAAAAAAATAAAAACGCATCAAAAAAAATATCCCCATAAGTATCAAAATAAAAATTGATTTGCATCAAAAAAATATTCCCCTGGACTTCTATGGAACTGTCCAAGATTTCAACGTGGTACACGCATCAAAAAAAAAATAAAATTTGCATCAAAAAAAAATAAATTCCGAGGTATGCTAATACAAGTGAGACTCGTACGTGTCTGGAGACAGGGGAGGGAGGGTCAGATGTCGATTGCCGATCTGTCCGCAATATCCAGGTGGTCCGTATCAAACAAGAAAATTCCGAGGTATGCTAATACAAGTGACTCGTACGTGTCTGGAGACAGGGGAGGGAGGGTCAGATGTCGAAGAAAAGGTCGACTGTCAGCAGACAACAGATACCAATGCATATTAAATCACAACTACTCTTGGGATACCGACTCAGACGAAGAGTCCCATTAAGGTGCTCCATAACGCAATGCTCATACATGCGAGGCGATCACACGTCTGGAGAACTCTCTTGAGATCCCAACAGATACCAGCGCATATTAAATCACAACTACTCTTGGGATACCGACTCAGAGGGAGAGTCCCAGCAAGGTGCTCCATAACGCAATGCTCATACATGCGAGGCGATCACACGTCTGGAGAACTCTCTTGAGATCCCAACATAAGTTAAGTTTTTCCTTTTTCCTTCGTTCTTCCTTCTCGATCTGCTTCTTCCTGCTGCCATTCTTCCTTTTTCCTATTATTCTTTGGTATCTTCTTCGAAGCAGCGTTCTTCTTTGTCTTTGCTTCTTTCCTTCCTTGCTTTTCGTTATCTCATATCCTCCTTCCTTCCTTTTTTCCTTCCTTCCTCCTTCCTTCCCCCCTTCCTTTCTTGGGTTTCGTGCCTCTCCAATTTTTCCATGGTTTTCTTCAATGTTTCCCTGGTTTTCTTCAATTGTTCCATGGTTTTCTTCCATTTTCCCATGTTTTTCTTCAATTTTTTCATGGTTTTCTTCAATGTTTCCCTGGTTTTCTTCAATTGTTCCATGGTTTTCTTCAATTTTTCCATTGTTTTCTTCAATGTTTCCCCGGTGTTCTTCAATTTTCCATGGTTTTCTGCAAGTTTTCTATGGTTTTCTTCAATCAATCAATCAATCAATCTATATATATATATGTATATATATATCTATCTATCTATCTATCTATGTATGTAGGTAGGTATGTATGTATGCATGTATGTATATGCAGGGTTCGGTTTAGGGTTTAGGGATACAACATGTAGGTATAATTACGTGATTATTTGTAGTATATTTTGGGATCAAAGCTGTGTATAAAAACAACCACAAATATGTCATATATATATATATACGTCTATCTATCTATAAGTAAATATGTATGTGTATTTCTAAATAAACATATATATATATACTGATAGAGACATAATTATATAAATATATACACATTGATATGTATATACATATTCATATGTATTTATATATATACATTTATATAAGTACAAAAATATATATATATATATATAAGTGTATATATAAATGCAAAGATATACATACATACATACATACATACATACATACATACATACATACATTAGATACATACATACGTTAGATATATATATATGTGTGTGTGTGTCTATGTATATATATATATATGTCTAGATATATATATATATATATAAACATAAATATTAATATAAAAGTATCAAACTAGTAATTGAAAAGTGTGCAAGTTTTGAATTTAAATAATTTAAAAAAAAGCGGGAGGGGGGGATTGGGGGGGAGGGCTGAAGAGGGGCCCTAGCGTCTACTTCAAGATCAGCTAAGGCGTCTTCCCCAATGACAGCACTCTTTTACTCTCAGCCTGTTGCCGGTCAGTGCTTGTCCACAGGGTTACTATATATACCTCTTGAGCCTTGAAGGGCGCATATAAATGTGCTCAATACTCATGCATGTACCTATGTAGGTATTAGGTCGAAACAAAAACAAGGGCGCAGCGCCTCCCCCCCAAAGCAGATTGGAAACACCTATTTTCACATGCAAGGTGCTGGGTTGAATGTGATACTCAAGGTGTATGTAGGTAGGTATGTATGTATGTATGCATGTATGTATGTATATACAGGGTTTGGTTTAGG